TGACAGATTCCAATAATGTTGTATTAAACAGAAAGGAATTGAAGAAGAGAAGTCATTTATGATGAACAGTTTGGTAGGGTCAAGGCCACCAAGGTGTAAGAGAAGGTGCAGCTCCTGCCCCAACTGTGAGGCAATTCAAGTTCCCGTCGAAACACTATCCAAAAGCCGCTGAAGCCGCCAATTCTCAGCTGTATTCTTCTTTGTTGCATACTCAAGAGGCGATGATATCTCAAATTACAAACCCATGAGCTGGAAATGCAAGTGTGGAAACCTGATTTATAACCCATGATTGAAGTAAAAATAAAACATTGTTCAGTTTAAACACCTCTTCTTTTTTTTAACCGTGGATATAAGGGCAAAAATTGACTTCCAATTCTTTATATTATCTTTCAATCTTCCCTCTCGTATGATAGAAGAGATCAGATACGGGTTATCAAGAAAGATATAATTATTTTCGTTTTTATTTAATTAAGATGTATTTATCTTAAGTTCGGTCGTTAACACTTAATAATAGTTAAAAATTTTGATATAATTACACATCTGATTAATATTATTTATATATTTTTTTAATTTAGTCGTATCTTTAATAAATTAAAATAAATTTGATCATTCAATCGAATGATATTAAATGTCATGTCACGTATTATCATTCGATTGAAAAATTAACTTTATTTTATTTTAATTTAATATATTTATTTCTATTAATCAAATAGTAGCATGTATTTCCCTTTAGTTGAAAGAAAACAAAATAAAGCAAATTTGGTCCAAAAAAATTCAAATATGTTACTTAACAAATTGAATATGTATCCAACGATTAAGCCAAGACCATTGCTTGGTCTAAAATAGATAATATGGTGTATATATTTTGTATCATAATGTATAAATACATAAATTCATAATATTTTTATATATTAACTTATGAAATCTGTTTTATTATTAACTTAATTTAAAAATATTTTTTTTATTTAAAAATATGTATCTTATGCTAAAATTTATAAAATTTATTTAAATGTATGACTAAATGAAGATAATAAATAACAGGAATCAAATGCGTGATTATATCAACTATCACGTTATATATTTTATTAATTGTTAAAATCAGTTAACCCATGATGACCACTTCTTAATTAAAAAAATTAAATTGATTATATTTTAATTAAATAAATTCGAAAGTGATCATATCTCATATTTTTTGAAATTAATGATTAAAAGTAGATATAATATAAATATAAGTGATTATATGTGTAGTTAACTCTTATTTTTTTTCTTTGTTATTTTTTAAAAATAATATTTTATTTTAAGAAAATTTAAGAATAAAATATAAGCCGATTCGTTTCACTTAAAAAATGTCTTCAATTGTCATTAAAAATTCCATTTAAAGTGGCTGGATGAGGTCACAGATTTGTTAACGTTGATGACAAAGTGACGACATTTGTCATTATAAAAGATATAAAGATTAAGGTGAAAGTCTGACATCCCGAAGAAAATGAGTTAATGATTTTATTATTAATTTTTTAAAAAAATCGATAAAATATTATCGAAAATATTATTATTTCTATCAATTTTATTATTATTAGGTGTTTTATTAATTTTATTAATATATCCAGTAAAATGCTATTGATTTTATTATTATTGGGCACTTTACTGAAAATGTCAAAAAATATTAATGTTTATGTAGAAATAATAATGTTTTATATATATTTTTACCAATTTTATTAAAAATATAATAAGAAAACTAATAACACATTTTCTTGATCATATATTAAAATTATCGCACGAAAACACTCACCAAAGATGAAGACAACTATGCTTTCGTATGTTACAAGATATGCAAGCTTAGAGGTTTAAACTTGATTCTTCCTTGTCGCATTGCCCCACATTACTTTTATTTATTTATTCATACCATTTTTATTTATGAACATGAGATATTTTAAGAATTATTTATGAAAATAATATTTTTATGTCATGCTACTCATGTAGGTTGAAGCCATGTCAAAAACTTATTTTAAAAAAGTGTACGAAAATAATTATTTATTGCTTATTAAGGTGACAGGTAACAATACCTAAGATCAGATTTGATTTTCTGATTAGGAAATTTAGCATAAAAAAATTAAAAATAAAAGAACCCAGTGGTTTAATAAATGAGCTGGAGCGCCAAGAAATGGCTGACACAACCAATGAAGCAATAGTTAATAATTTTTTTCCAGAAAATATGATACATGCGTCATTCAATCAATCATATCCAGTGATATGCATGAACAAGTTGAGAAAATGATGGTCGGGTGTAGTTTACCCTGCTTCGAAAAGCTCACTTGCTTGCTAATAAGAGAAGGGATTAAATTAGTTAAGATGTATGCATGGGCTGCACAGTAAAAGTAAAACCTCTTCATAAACCGAACCCTCACATTAAGCCAATGAATCAAACAAATGTTGAGTGGCATTCCCTCTTCTTCAAACACCTCGTTGTTTTGTTTTGTTGTCATATCCTTTTCAGCCACTTCTCTCCATTTTTATGGCTCTGGCCTTTCCTCATCTTACCAATTCCCCTTGTGTTGTATACATCAGAAATATTGCTGCTGCTGAAATAAAGTAGAGATTCTCTTACATATGCAGATTCCAGGTTACAAAAGGGGATGTGGTTTTTCCTTATCAGAATCATTTTTTTCATCAACGAGGGCATCTTTTCTACTTCCCACTTCTGTTGCTGGTGATCTGCATTCTGGTTTATCAACTTCTCTCACCCTTTCTTTAATCAACGTCCTTTCCTTCTTTGTTAATTCCTTGAGAAAATTCTCCAAGTTTGAAGGGATTTGTTTGATTCTTAAGGTAAATGACATCAATGGTAATCCAAACCTATGTCTTTGGCTTATGATAAACTATTTGCGACTTCTGCAAAGGAAAGCAAATTCCAGCTTATTAGATGATGGGATAGAAGGATGTGATCGATATAAAAGACAAGGAAGTTGAGGATCTTATTGATGAAGAATGAAGGCGACGACACTTTACAAGATCGAACACAATAAGCAGTACAATATTTTTTTTTGGATAAGTAATTTATATTCCATCCAAGAAAGCATTTTACAACCAACAAAGTTACCTCAAGACAGACCCCGATTCAAATATAAACGCCTATTAACATCATCAAGCCTAGACATGTCATATCTACTCAACTTGACTCTAACAGTCACTTTTATACTATTTACAATTACATCAACAGAGCGAGACGAGCCTCTAAAGAGCCTATGATTACGCTCTTCCCAAACAGAATACAACAGACCAGTCCAAGCGAGTTTTAGGATACGAACTCTGAGAGATTTGCCCTTCAAATTTGCAATCAACCAATGAAAAAGATCATCCCAGTTGCTCACGTCATAACGAACATCGCAAGAAGTTAGAACAATATCCCACACTTCCTTTGCAAAAGAGCATTCAACAAAAAGGTGATCTTGAGATTCAATGCCAGAGCCACACAAACCACAGACATTATCAATAGCCAAACCAAAGCGAACAAGCCTATCTTTAGTAGACAGCCTATCGAGAATGACCATCCACGAGATAAGAGAGAATTTGGGGATGTGAGCATGGAACCATATCAGTCTGTGCCAGTTTACCTTCGCCCTGCAATCCCGGATATTGTCCCAAATCCATTTGCCTTTAATAAGACTCCAGTTGGCACAAGGGAGGAATAACCGTCTAGCCTCCTCTCGCATACTCAGAAGTTTGCTTAGGATCCAACTGAAGTGGGCTTTGCACTCAACATCCCAAAAGCTAACTGTTTTGAGATAGTATTCTTTGATCCAGGCAATCCAAAGAGAGCCTTCATTAGCCAATATGTTTTTTACAAGGAGCAAACAACAAGCCACAAGGCTTCTAAGACCCAACCCACCCTCAGACTTCAAGGAGCATATTTGGCTCCATCCCACACGAGCTCCTTTTGCTGATGAATCACTGCCCTTCCAGAAGAAACGCATACAAAGACGTTCAATATCCCTAATAATTCCCTTGGGCAAAATCAACTGCCTACTCCGATAATTAAAAATGCTGAACATAACAGTTTTAATCAATTGGAGCCTACTACCATAACTCAGGTTCTTGTTAGACCAAAGCTTGAGCTTATCCTTGATATTTCTTCAATAGTACAATATATACATTGCATAGTGTGTTTTTATATTTACTACATAATATATTAAAATACTTCAATTTAAGTTAAATTTTATTTAGATACTTCAATTTAAGTTAAATTTTATTTAGACGATGACATCGTATTATCATATGTTGATGAAAATATATTTTTTATTTTACCTTATCAACGATTAAAAATGTATGAATTTTTTTATCTGATGTATTTTTGTAGTCATCTTAGATGTCGATGAACTTATCTCGTTGTACTCCCTATTTTATTGGTTTATATTTTCTCAAAATATCTTTAAAGCTCATAAAAAGTATACACAAAATCTATTATTTATTTAAGTTTAAAACTTTCTCGTATTTAAGGAATTTGGGGTATTTATTTGAAATTTCAAATGGTGAGAAGTATTCTTTCAAAAAGAACAACAATATATCTCAAAACTAGATTTATCGAACAATCATCGGAAGAGATCCAAACATTAAAACGTTGAACGTTTAGATGATTTTTTATCAATTTTAAGTAAATTTGTAAAAAATCAACCCATAAAGAAGAAAGAAGAATGAAATACTGTTTTCATTTCTTGGCTTTATTTATTGACTACGGCCATGTAAATCTAAACATTTCCTTGGCTTTTCATTTCCTAACTAATTAAAAAGTTTTTTTTTTAACAAAGTGATGGAATTTCAAGCTCAGTAGGGAACTCAAGTGAGCTTTCACTAAATATTTTAGCTTAGCTAATCAAAATGATCCTTGCATCACAGGCTTCAACTAAATTATCATCTGACTAAGCAAAAAATTTGCAAATACCATCAATTAAGTGTAAATTTGTAAATTCCTGGGATCTAAATCTATAGGTTCCAAGAAAACTACAGATTCCAAATACCATCAATTAAGAAAGCACTAGAAGTTCAAAATCTTGTCTCTTTGTAGCAACTTATAATCAAATTACTCGAACAGAATTGCACATTCCGAATGTTCTGAATGCTTTGTGAGTCCATCAGACAGAAGTCCAGAATCTAAGTGCAAACAGATGATATCAATTAGTACTCATTCGAATATAAAGCCGACACTGAGAAATCCCTGCAACAGCAATAAGATCAAAGAAAACGAAAGTAGATGAGTTCATTCTCAGGTATGCTTGTCATGTCTTTCTTGAAGCGCATTCGATTGTAATAGCATCCATTTAATTGATGTCCCTGAAATCGAAGTCCCATGGAAATGATAAGCCAAAACATTTAACCAGACCATGGCGATTAGCGAGCTAAAGGAAATAAATGAATGAAATGCTTACACTTTCTCAAATAAGCTCTTATCCACTATTCTACTCAATTTGGGTCCTTAAAGTATTATTTTTGTTTAAAGGAACCCCCTTTTTTACACGAAAAACCACTAAAATCATTAGAAAAATTAAGGGTTGGTTTATGTTCTTAATCAGATAAAAATAGTAATGTAAGAGTTTAGTTGGATGCAATAAAAGGTTAGGCTTACATAAGAATTTTATAAAACTACCAAGACGTTTGTAGTAATTTAACCAATATGGTGAAATACCAAAGAAGGTTCAAGAAGGATGCCATAGGCTTTTGCAAGCAGAGATTTCCCTTTTTGCAGTCATAAAAGTTTAGGACCTCCTCAGTTCAATGTAGTCCTATGCTGATAGCAATTGCAACATAAGGTCACAAACCTAGCAATCGAGGATAATACTATTGTCGTTTATCATATTTTAATCTGATTATTTTTCTTTGTCGGTTATACAATCCACAAATTTTGATGTAATAAAAAAAGGTAACAAGGCTTGAGGGAAAGAGTTCAGCAACTTAGATTAAAGCTTCATGCAAAAGTAGTGACAAGCAACACAAACATAATATGATGGCATGTCTACTCATGAGTAACATACCTGCAAATATGCCTACAGTTTTCAGATTTGAGAGGGCCATTGTGAGGTAGAAGAGGTATTCAGTCAAAAAGTGACCAAAGGCATAGATGAATGACAATAACGTCACCAAGTATAGTGGCTTATTTTCCAAGTTAAATGCACAAAGAAAGCAGAGGGTACAAGTCAAAAGTGTCCAAACTCCAATTGTCCTCCCATGAACTTCAGTCACTGCATATCAAAACAGGAGATGACCAGTTATAAGATCTGGAATGGCATATTCCTCAGCAGAAAACATATTTCCGTCTGGGGTCAAAGCCTTTTTCGTAGTTATACTGATACCGGAGTCTTATTCAATTTTCTAATATATATCACAAAAAACTGCTGTTTTTTTGTGTGAAAGATGTTAAGAAATAATAGAACAGTAATAAGGGTACAGAAGGGAAACTAAACCATATCCATTCTACAATTGACAAATATTATATCTCAAAGGCTCGTCATCATAAGTTCCAATGTCTCAACTCTCAGGTATGAGGTTTTTGTAGTTCTAAAGAATTTTGATATTAGAGTTAATTAATTGATTTTAATATTTTAGTTTAATTAGTTTTTTAAATTGATGTTAATTTTTTTTATTAATATAGGGGTAAATACAAGTCAGCCTCTGTTTAAAAATAATTTTTAATTATTTGACATTGAACGTTCACAACCACGTCCCTGATGCTCGAACTCGGGACCTCAAAGAATAATAATAAAGGCTGTTCAATTCATGCAATTGATGTTAATTTAAAAATATATACTTTTATAAAAAGAGTAATACATTAATATCCCGTCATGTCACCTTCACTACAATATTATCGTCGAATAGGTACAAAACATGGTAAATGTTAATCTCTTTTTTTTTTCTTTGTACATAAGAGTTTTGAATTTGCTTGTTAGTGGTAAAACCGTATAAAGGTAACTTATGACACCTCTTGCGTAAAGTTCTTTTCAAGAATGAGGAAAAAAAATCTAAATCAGCCAAGTAAATCCCGGTGAGGCTGGTCCTGACATTTTAAGAGCCCTAGGTAAAATAAGAGATAAGGGTCCTTAAAAAAATAACTTAAAATTCAAGAATAAATTTCGGTAAACACCAAACAAATTTTTTCATTAAAAATTATACGAGTAGATTCTATTACATTAATCAACATTATTTTACCAAATACATAAAGAGACATCTCAATTTTAACTCAATTTACTCCTATTATGTATTCAATCATCTCTTAGAATCGTTTTTCTTAATCGAAAATTGACGCCTCTCACCTACAAAACAACATACACAAATTCTCATAAGAAACGGTTTCTTCTAGCATTTTGATATTCAAAGTCATTGATAATAACATCAACATCAATGTTTCCTATCATCTCCTTCTCAATAGCTAATGTTGCTAAACCATTCAACTTTTCTTGTGACATTGATGACCTCAAGTACGTTTTTATTAATTTAAGCTTTGAGAAACTTCTTTCGGTTGAAGCTACGGTCACAGGCACAGTTAATAAAATCCTATAAGCAATTGAAGCATTCGGATAACAATCTGCATATTTGACAAACTTAAAAATTTCAGTGGCGGATAACAATTATGTCGACAAAGTCATTTGTAAGACTTTCAATTCAGAGAAAATATCATCTAAGTCAACATCCGATGAATTGCCATGAGAAAAGATAGAATGAAAATGAGCACAACATTCTTTAAACTCATTATTGTCTAATGACTTTAACTTATTTGAATCATATAAAAATCCAAAAATACTTTCAAATGTCTTCAATTGCTCAAATCTATTCTTCAAAGAAGTAATTGTCATATCTACCACAACAAAAAAATAATTGACTTTAAATGACTCTTCAGGCGATTCAACTTCGTTATCCTCATTATTCTCTCCAAAAAATTTCTTCCTAATCACACGACGTTTTGTGAGAAAGATAGGCTCCACATCCATTTCAAGTGCAAGACTTTTAGCTACATTCATACTAGTTGTAAAGCCTTCATCTCTATATTTTTCGAAGTATGGCATCACATCTTCTAATTGCCTTATGATAGTACCAATGCACATAGACTTATATTGTAATTTTTTGCTTACCATATTAACATCAAATAAAATGTCATACCAAATCACAACACCAAGCAAAAGCTCAAAACTTGAGAGTGCATTCACCAAACTTTCAGCTTCACTTTTTGACTTTGCATCATTTTCACAATATTCATATATTTCACACAGAGTCAAATCTTATTTGGGGATATTGAAATCTAATAACTTTGACACTTTTAATTCGACTCTCTCATCGAGTATTTGATAAATATTTCACAGTTAATCCAGGAACATTATCAAGTAAAATTTTCCATCTCTTTGTAGAACCCGAAAACAATGCATATATGCGTTGAATAACTCCAAAAAAAGAAATAGCTTTAACACAAGAATGTGTCATATCACCAAGAGTGAGATTTAGACTATGACAAGCACAAGGCATGTATAATGCTTTTGGATTAATTTCAAGAAATCTTTTTTGAACACCTTGGTGTTGTCCTTTCATATTAGAACCGTTATCATAACCTAGTCCCCTCACATCATCAACATTAAGATCAAGAGACTTCAAAATATTTTGTAATTCATTAAAGAGTCCTAATCCATATGTATCATCCACTTTTAGAAATTCCAAAAAGAACTCCTCAATTTTAACTTTGTTATTTAATATATTAACACATCGAACTATGAGGGTCATTTGTTCTTGATGGCTCACATCAGGCGTACAACCAAAAATTATGAAAAAGTATTTAGCCTCTTTAATGATATAATTTCTCAAACTTTGAGACAAAAGAGAAATGAACTCATTTTGAATTTTATGTCCAAGATAATGAATTTTATGATCCTGAATGCGTCTAACATGATCTTGCATAATCACATCAAACTCTGCAATTATTTCAATCAATCCCAGAAAATTACCATTGTTATCTTGATATAGTTTTTCATTAGATCCTCGAAATGCAAAATTATGTTTAGCAAGACATTTTACAACTGAGAATATTCTTTGTAACATTTGTCTCCAATGCTCTTTTTCTTTCATAATCTCTTCTTGCAAAATTTTATTGATTGTTATCAAATCTTACTCTCAATTCATTCCAAGTATTCATAAAAGTCATATGTTCAACACTATTTTCATGTTGTTTAAGCCTTTGGCTAATATGTTTCCAATCACTTAAGCCATCATTTGCTAACAAACTTACATTACTAATCAATTTGAATAACTTGCAACAAAAACAATATACTTTGTCAACATTTTTGGAATAAACTAACCATTTTCTATCACTAGTCTCACAATTGCTCAACTTTCTAGAATAACATTCATATGAGAAATGTCTATAATATTTATCAACACGAAATTCAATATCCATTTCTCTTATGGGCCCTTTTTTAACAAATATATCCCTCGCATTATTGTCAAGATTCTCCTAATTTATTTACATTACTAATCGATTTGAACAACTTGCAACAAAAACAATATACTTTGTCAACATTTTTTGAATAAACTAACCATTTTCTATCACTAGTCTCACCATTGATCAACTTTCTAGAATAACATTCATATGAGAAATGTCTATAATATTTATCAATAGGAAATTCAAGATCGATTTCTCTTATGGGCCCTTTTTCAACTAATATATCCCTCGCATTATTGTCAAGATTCTCCCAATTTATAGGATCGTATATATTCAAATGAGGAAGTTTTTCTTCACCAATGCTTAAATTTTCATCAATTGGCACATCATTAAAGTCAATTGGATCATTCACATTTTCAGGATTTTCAATGTGCAAATTTTCAGTTGATTGATTCAAAGTTTCATGAGAATCAACCTTTTTAAACACAAATTTATCAAGAGCTCCTTTTTGTGACTTCTTTAACTCCTCCTCTCGCTTCCTTTTTTCACTTCCAGACAAATGTTTTTTAGGCAACATCTCATCAAAGAGTTAAACACAAACCAATTCTAATAAATAAGTATAAGAAAAGAACAATTGCACCTGGATTCTTCAATTAGAATTGTAACAAGATAAAATCTCAATTTCTCAATTTGATATTTGACATAAATATTAATAGTTATAACATGAACACCAAAATAAAAATATCAAAAAGTATATTAAAGATACAAGGGTTGGAATAAAATAAACTAAAACTTGAAGTTTAATTCAAAATAAATAGGCTGATGAATACATCCAAAACTAACATCAGATCTAACCCGAAAAAGACCCGACCCTTCGAATACCTCGCACTCCGGCAACCCTCGACGACGGAGCAGCCTATACTCACCCCCAAAACCATCGAACCTTCCTCTCAAAACCTAGATCTAGGTATAAAACCAACATGCAGGAACCCTAGAACGTTTAAGTTATTCGGCCTCTTTCCCTATGACCTAACCGTCGGCCCCAACTCCGGTGAGACCCCTCATTTCTCAGGTAAATTCTAGGCTTATTTATTTTTTATATTTATTATTTCGAATATATGTATTAATCGTTACTATGCTCGACAAGGAAAAAAATGTTATGTATTCGAACTAAAAAAACATAATCTCTTGATGAATTAGAAGTTAACCGATCAGAAAAAAAACACATACATCCGAACAGAATAATATGTAACCTTTGGAGTCTACTATTTCTTGAATATGAGCGTTTACAATGTATTTTTGCTAAGATTTTTCCCTTGTTTCAATCTGTTTTTCTCTTTCCGTTCGACTCCTCCCACATCTTGTTGTTATGCTCCTTTTATTTATTCTCCTTAGGTAAGAGGTCTAATGAGTAGGATTTTATTTTTTCTCTGATTTGGTGAAGAAATCTCCACTTTTTTATATTTATTTTTGTTTTTTAATCATTAGTGGTTTAAGTAAAAATTTGAGTGGGATTATGAGAATGGTGGAGACATGGGCTGCTTGACTTCAAGTGGGAGCTGAGCTGTTGTAGCATGTGCAATAGGAAAGTGCTTCACGTGGGGTCATGGGCTGTTGAATAAAATAAGAAAAATGGTGCTTACATTAATATATTTTTATTATTAGATTAACTATATAATTATTCGTTAAATTATGTAAAAATATTTTTTTAATTATTAAAACTTAAAAATTATAAAATTATTATTATTTTTAAGAATGAGCTTCCTCCAAACCTAGGCCCTAGGCGGTCGCACTCCACGCCTGGGCTCAGGGTCGACCCTGG